TACACTTTGGTAACAAAGATAACAAAGCACAAACCTCATAATATGGTGCTCCTGTCCCACATGCCATCATGCCTTCACATTCTCTATTTCAAGAAAAACAAACCAATTAAATACTGGTAGTTACCCTCAATATAAGTCTATATGATCACAGTACGTTTGTACGTTTTCCTACGAAAAATAATGCAGCAAATATTGGACATATCCAGTGTAATGATGAGCCAATGCTTTATGCAAAACCCCCATATTTTGGAAGGCTGAGATCATGTCACCAATGCACTGACAAGAGTAAAGAAAGGAAGCAGCCCCGAGCGGGCCACTTATGAGGTAGGTTGGCATGATGGATGGGTCACAAGACAAAGGACTTTGCCCAGAAGAAGGGTGTTCTGACCATGTGAACTTTGAGACATTTTAAAGGTACATCCTCAACATGTTTCTTTTCCTAAACCTAATCACAGTAACTTTTCTTACCTCAGCCTAACCTCCATAATTTACGTCAATAACGGGTTTTTTCTCCCTGCTTCCAGTGTGCTAATTGACCATCGCCAAGCCATGATCCCTTTAGCTCTTTTTTTTTTGGAAACTTTATTTCGTGGTTTCAGAGAATAAGAATGCTCAGAGATGTACAAAAACTAAAGAAGCTTTTTTGTTAGTTAGTTAGTTCCCATAAGACAACAGAAAATTAAGGTTTTGATACCAAAAAATTTGCATCTATATATAGGCTACATGAGGAAATTGTTACTTGTTAGATCTGTGAAAACTGTAAAAACCAAATGGCAAAAATCATTATTAGGGGTGTAAATCATAAGTTTCATAAAAATATAATACAAAACAAAAACGATATGATATTTGCTGATATCACAAAGTCTGCCACGATACGATTTCATTTTGCTTCAACTCAGGGGCCTGTGATCGATACAAGACGCTATCAGTAAATATATTCTTTGTGTTTTTCTTGGTTGCTCACCATTATCTGCCTGGCACTAGGCCGCTATCATTGTTTGAATATTTAGGAAGTGACAAGACTCAGATAAAGGACACAATTGCACAACTCAGAAAAAGGTCAAAGTACAGTTTATTAAACAATGGGCAAAATCGTGGTCAGGCAGAATCAAGGTCAAAAATCCTCATAGGCAAAATCAGGCAGAGGTACAAAAGGGAAAGGCTCAGGCGGGTCCGAAAAAAATGCTAATAAGATTAAAAACCGAGGATCAAAAACACTGGCAAGAAATGCTGGTTGGCTTGACGATACCAACAAGACAAACTGTCACAGTACAACACACAACACAGGGTTTTAAACATGAGGGAGGGTGAGACAATGAGACACAGGTGGAAACAATCAGGGCGGGGCTGCTGATGATCAGCACACAGGAGAACACAAGGGCAGGAAGTCAAGACACCTGAAACGAGAGGAGAGTTACTACAAAATAAAACAGGAAGTGCAACAAAAACACAGAGAAAACATGACCTTATCCCTGATGAATCCTGACAGGAAGGAGGATGGAAATGGTGACACAGACATGCCATGGGAATTTCAAATTTAAGGACAATATGAAATGGTGCTTTCACATTGATTTGATAATATTGGAACGTTAATCATTGAATCAATGTATCAGTCCAGATTAATGTAATAATTACATATATTGACAACATGAAACCAGCAAGATCCTGCCAAATCACTTTGGTGGAGATCAAAATAAATGTAGTAGTATTTCAGACTGCTCTAGCCAATTAGACTAATATTAGCTTTATCAATTGGTTTACAAAACTGTGACCGGCAGGGATGGGCATGGGTACTCGAGTACTTGTTTGGACGTCAGTATAGAGTAATCGCGACTCAGTATTTCATTGTAGAACTGCTTGCAGTGTATTGCTTCGCTTAATACTTCCTTGCCCCATTGTCCCTCTCTCTCTGTTTATAGAGAGAGACTACTGCTGCAGGAGTGTGAGCTCCGCAGGGACAGTTGCCCGAACACATACACACACAGTGACAGGGCTAATTGTTTGCATCACATCGCTAACGTTACCATAACGGTTATAAAGGGGACAGAGTCCAGCTCTTTCGGTGTCAGTGTGAGTTTGTTGGGTCCATTTAACAGCTCAGTGTCAGATGTTAATCTCAAATTGCACTTGTTTTTCATTGCTGACCAATGTAAATTCTTATTCTCATGCTACTTTTTTTTTTTTTTCTTGCAAGGACTTGAGTATAATAATTTAATCTGAGCACTGGATTATGGAGGTTATTTGACATGCCCATATTTTGCACAAAGACTGAAGCTACAGCTACATGTCTGAGTCAAAAAGTCAGCATTCCCACTACTGTTTAGGGCTAGTTAGTTCTAGTATTATAACTATGATAACGAAAAGTTATGGTTGGCAAGCTATAATTGGCCTTTTGCTGGAGAGGTTTACAGCCCATTAGGCTACACACATGGAGCAACCTCTGTTCAGAATGGTTTGACATAAATCTTTTTATCTGACCACAGGTTAGACTGTGAATGAACGTATTCCAGATTGTTATTTTAAGAAGCTGACACAAAGCAGTCATAGTGTAGAACAAAAAATGATGCAGCATGTATTGTGTATCTGGACAACATACACAGAGTGCCTCTGTTACGTAAGTAGGGAAGCGTCATGCTGTTCATATTAATTACACAGACTTCCATGTTTTTTTGTGTTAAAGTGCTTTAATTGTCTCGTGTCAGGCACATTTTGAACGGAGCCATCTGCTTCTGCTTCCTCCACCAGCCCTCCTTCTCTCTTCGTCTACTTAACACTCAGCCAGTATTTCCTCAGAGACAACTTAGCCAACACATTCACGATGAGAGGAAGAATTAGCAGCCAATTACAGTCAGATAGACTTAGCTTTGGATGTGGAGCTTGAAGGTTATTGGAATGAAGTTTAATGCTGTGATTTACTGAAAAAAAGATGTTTATATCCAAAAGAGCTCTGTGTAAGATTACTTCCGTCTGTTTTCCCTTCATCATCTTTCCCTCCTCCTCTTTTCTTTTCCTTTTTACTGTTTTTCCCCTTATTGTTACTCTTCTTAGGTCTGCGAAAGTGTTTGAAATGGATGGATGTAACACAGCAGTGGTTCAACAAACACCTAGTTCATGACAGCTTTTCCATTCCCTGAACTAATGAAGGTTTTTCCACATTTCACTCTAACCCACAGGGCGACCTTTGCTCTCAGAGTGGTGAAGATCAGCAGATGGTCTCTTGGCAACTGCAAAGAGAAGTCAAGGGAGCAAGCAAATAGACTGAATTTGATTTACTCAGTAAAGGGACTAGTGCTTCACTGTCACTGCATCCTCATGAGTTATTTTAGGAGCTGTCTGGTTAAATCTTCATTAGTTAAATCATGTGAGCATACATTAGTCAGGATAATCATGTGTCTCTTAGAGATTATTTTCTCGGTCAGGCGTAAGTCTGGAGGGGATCAGCTGTGGGTCGTGTGTGAGTGTGTGTGTAGTATGTGTCAGTGTGTATCTGTCTGTCTGCAGCCAATCTGGCAAACTCCTGGACCAATCAGCCTAATATTTTGTGTGCACAATAATGACTGTATGATCAAGGACCTCTCACAGTTGCAGTGATTCACAATTGTTGAAAAACCTGCTTATCTGATTGTCATCAACTGCTCAATCCTAACTTTTTTGCAAGTTGTCTTGAAAGCAATTTGGCTAAAAACTACAAGCCATACTTTCTTTTGCAGGCTACATTTTGGCTCACGTCATGGCTCAAAAACTGACAACCATAGAAAAGTCTTGTCTCTTTCAGAACCGGAGCATCTGCAGATTAATTACATACCTGATATGTTATGATCCACCAAAGTTAGGCACGATACAAGATGAATTAGGCCCTGTTCTTGTTATCTTCACTGCCATCTTGACTATGAGAAAGCTGGAAAGGACAATGCCACCAGGCAAAGCTGCGACGTGGTTCTGTTCAATACTCCTCATGGAGGCATTGCATCTATATTTCTCTTTTGCTCTGTGCAACATGCTGTGGCTAGACATGCGTGTATTTTTATTAGCTTCTGAGATGCTTCTGAAAAACGCTGTGTGGTGCATCTGCTGGAATTACAAGAATTATCTAAAGTTGCTGCGATCGGCTCTGGTGGCACATTCCTCATACAAGGTATATGCAATGCTAACATGCTGATGTTAAGCAGGTATAATGCTTCGCTTGTTCACCATCTACTGTAGGCTGATAGGAATGTCATTAAATATTTGGGAAGACACAGGCTTCCATCATCCAACACATCCATTTATCCAACCCAGTCTCCAGAATTTTTTTTTAATGTAGCCGATAACATTGAAACTTTATGTCCTCTAAAGCTGTGGTTACTGTGTGGTTAGATTTAGGCACAAAAACCACTTGGTTATGGATAGGAGAGGAACATGTTTGACTTAAAAGCAGCTCTGTAAGAAATATTTGCTTTTCGTGGAGCTATCCTGGTGAATAATCAGTAACGGGTCTTTAGCATGCCTAAGTTTGGTGCCTTAAGAGCCACTGGAAACACAGCAGTTACTCACTAAAACAAGATTGGTTTTGTGGGTTGTTGGTCATGCACAGTGTTCTGCAAATTGGCAGGTGTCTTGCCAAGTTATCATCGCATCCATCATCCCCTCCACATCCCAACGACAGTCAACTCATATTATGTCACTTTAGAAACGCTGATATGATGCAAATGAAACATGCAAATGTTACATCTTTGCAGAAATGTACAATGCCAACATTGTATTCTGGTGACTGGGCTCATTTATCATAAACACAGGAACTTTGCCTCTGGTAATTCAAGCTGTCCAAAACTTTTGTACCATATTATATGTAGAATTTTACTTTTTCCTAATGCAAATTGCTACTTTGACTTACCATACCCTTTGTACTCATTTAGGGTCTTTTATATCTTAGCTTTTGGTGTCATGTGTCCCAAGTTCTATCTGAAGGTGTCCTCATGTCTCATAATCTCATAATTTCTTTCTCTTCTTCTTGTCTTCAGGTCATGGGATGAGTTCCATGACTGCGCCAACGTGGCGATGGCTGGTTGTCCTGATGAGGCTGCAGCTGTCTGGGAATCTCTCCGTCAGGAATCCAAAAAGATGCAGTTCTCCGGAAACCTGTACGACATGTGCTCCAACCGTAACAACCACCCAGTGGCCTCAGTCTCCCCGCACGGCTCACCCAACCAGGAAGAGATCAACCAGGAGTCTCTAAGAGGGTGCGCTGATCATCTGGCGGGCTGCCTCCACTTTCTCATGCTACTTTCTCCTCTGCTGCTGTTGTTGTTTTGGATATAGCTACCCCCAAAGAAATGGGACTAGTGTGAATAGATATAAACTTTGTGTATTTTTTTCTTTCACAAGTCCATAGACTTTCCACTTTTTTTTTTTCCTCTGCTCTGCCAGGGGGTGAATATTTCTAGCTGCATGTTCAGAGGCCCGACAGTCTTTTTGATAATGTATCTTTAAACTGCCTGTGCCGTTTCATGCATATTCTCTGCCTTTTAATTAGTCTCTCTGTTGGAAACACACAAAATTCATACAGAGATGCACAACCACTAAACAAACAGACCTGCAAACACATACATAGTTAAACAGATACATACGGCAGCCTCATGTCATTTGTCTTCATCCCCTCTCCCCCTACATCTAGTTTATCTGGTTAGTATGAGCTTGTGTATGATGGTTCCTGGGAGAGTTTATCTTCCTGAGTGTAATAAAAGAGACATACTTGATGAACGTGAAAACTAAGTGATAAAGAGGCCAGATGCCACGACTAGCTAAACTCATTCATTCATCAGCTTTAAAGTATGAAGCATTTGATAATCATTTAAATCTAACATACCTTACTTCAGGATCTGAAATTAACACTCGCCAAGCATCAAATGCAAATATATTTATTTTGTTTGGAGAGTAAATCTCGGAAGGCTATCCACCACACTGGCGGTAAATGTTTGTATTAAAATAGCCATGTAATAAAAAACCATGCTTAGAGTCTCTATGGCATTTTGACGTCATTTTGGGCGAACTAATCTGCTTTTCCTCTGCTGTCAGTATCGCAGTTTGACACATACTACAAATGTTCATACATGCATCTAAACGTTGCCGCAATGCTGACAGTTTTGAGCACTCTGAGATTTGCAGCTCTATTTACCGTATTTACCGTCCCTTCCCAAACTTTTTCTCATGCCGAGGCTGTTTAGTAATAATTTGGATTCTGATTATGCTCTGGCTTCTTCTTTAAGTTTATATTTAACACAATACCTCATTATCTCAGTGAAATGTACTGAAACAAATGTTATGTATCAGTTTATTATTTTGGCTGGTACAGAATATACTTGGCTGGTGGATATTTTCATCTACCAGTCCCTTGGGCCGGTGAGTCAAAAAGTTAATTCTGGACACTGCCTGGCTCGCGTTGACTCAATTATCCAGTTGGCTAAATTTTCATTTCCCTTGTGTTGTCTTAATGCTGCCTATGTTAAAGCCCCTATTTCTATGGCATACAAGAATTACACTGTAAAAAAGACACCATTGCTTTTGATTTTTTTTTTTAAGTTAGTGTGCAGGCTGCCTCAAAATTTTTAACATGATTAATTTGGGAAGACATGTTGAGTTAATTACTTTCTTTAAGAGAAAACCTAAACAAAAAATCTTATTGTAGAGACTGGACTCCTTTTGTGGATTTCTTTAAAGATATTGAGGACATTTTTTCTTAAAATGTAACACTTGAGTTTTAATCCATTGTTCTGCACTAATTGTTATCTTTCTACCTGTCAAATATACATTAGAAAAATAACATTTTGCCTAGCTAACCCCTGGACCAGTGGTTCCCAACTGGTCCAGCCACAGGGTCCACATTTCTCCTTAGTCATTCGTTCAAGGTCCACACAGTTTAATATATTCAGCCTCACACTTGCATTTGGCCATGTAGTCAAGCTAGTTTGCTGTCTCTGTTAAATAGTTGTCCGTTAATCATTCGCTCTACAGCAGGAAATGGCACTTCAAAATAAAAGCTATGCATTAGAACTGTACCTCAAAATAGAGTTTTTTAAAAACTTGACACATTCGCGAGTCATTTGCAGTCCATTCAGAACAGACCCACAACCCACTTTTGGACCCTGACCCACCAGTTGGGAATCACTGCCTTAGACTATATAATAATGATGGATGGCATGACAGCTCCCCAAAAGTGCAGCCAAAACATTTCGATCACCCTCTGGTGGCTGGCTGTAGTATAGGTCATAAACCTCACACCCTCCATGTTAGCAGATGGGACATGAGCCAAACTAAAAGATCAACGTACATGTCAGATGCTTTATTCTTAAAAATGGCTTGTCATTTTAGGTAGTTCTTATCACCCTGATGTATGTTCAGGTGTTCAATTGTCTGATTAGTTTATATAAAAAGGGGGTTGACATCATGACTGACAGCTTGCAATTCCTTGGATTGGTGTATGGGCGGGAACCTCATATTGTGGAGATCGCTACAGCACAGACTCAATGACATCACTAGCACAAGATGGCAGCAGCAGGATATTTTGGCTCCATTTTTGAACAGTAGGAGGAAGAGGGGATGTGTCAGCCATCTTTATATACAATCTATGAGCCAAACCCTCCTATCTTACCTTAACTATACTTTGCGTTAGTGTTAGCTTGTAAGTAGTAGCTCAGCAGTTAGCAGGGTGTGGGGTTTGTTGGCAAAAACATGTCTGTTTATATTCCAATAGTGCGTAGTTACAGTGTAATTTCATTTCTTCCTTATCCCCCACCTTCTGATCTAACAACATGAATGTGGTTGTATAGGTGAAGGCCAACAGTCCAAATCACCATCCCACTGTTTTCAATCATATCCCAACCCACAGATCAAATCTGTCTTGAATTTTCCAATCTAACTCAAAACTGTGTACTGGAGAAGATTAAGATGCCCTTATTGACATTTTGCTGTGTCCTTCATGATTCTGATCGGTTGGAAAGATTCAAACAACCAATAATGGCTCTTTAAGACCTTTAGTGTTTGCTAGTAAAGCAAATGCAGTGTGGAGATCAGTCTGGTTTTATGAGAGTAGAGGGTTTTTTTTTTAATTCTCCCTTCAAGGATTCATATAAACTACATTTAGGGCTCTAGTTTTGCAGACCGGGCGAGGCGGAGGCGCAGCGTACCTGCGCTTCGCCAACTGGGTGCGGCCAGGCGGATTTTGCAAGTTTGGCACACCGTGCACCCTGGCGCAGCTACTCCTCTTTCCCACCTCCATCCCTCCTACTGGCGCAAGTCGGAAAGAGGAAGGAGAGAAGGCGTGGAGTGGGTTTTACACACATCACACCAATCAAATGAGCCCCTCTCCTCGCCCTTAAATGCGCCGCGTGAAGGTGTAATGAGAGTTTACTCAATTCGCCATGGAAGAAGAGAGCAGCAGCGTCAGACGGCCAAACTTCTCCCAGGAGGAAACTGATGTTTTGGTCCAGGAGGTCCAAGCTCACAGTGTCCGAATATACAGAACTGCGAGCAGACCTCCACGGGCTGATGATGCAAAGGTAGCCTGGGAGGAGGTCACCACAATTGTAAATCAATGTTGCGTTTCTCTCGTGCGTGCGCGCTCTCTCTTTCTCTCTCGCAGTCTCACTCTGTTTGTTTTCTTTTGACTTGAAGATGGCAGATGATGAATATATACTCCCTATCTGATGCTGTGGCTGTTTGTGGTTGGCTGAGAGGGATGTGAACTCATTAGTTTGCAGCTGTGTTAATCAAATCAGGTTGGGTTTCCATTACGCATGCCAAACGTGCCAAACGGTGCCAATCCCCTTTGATCTGACATCAGATGTGACGGGACAGTCGATATAGAGATACATTTATGTGCTGATTGCAGATAGTTGCATTGAATAGTAGTTTTGTGGGTATTTATTGCATTGTTAATGTGCCTGATATTCTGGAAACCTGCCTGTGAGGTTTTGGTGACGTGTGCGCACTGTCCGCCAGTCAGCCAAACTTCGGCTTACACCGGCTGCGCTCTGCCTGCGCTGACAGTAGACCTGGTTTCAGCTGGCAAGCTTTTAGTGCACCTTCTGCGAAGCCTTTTGGCACGAAACTGTCACTGCGCCAAGCTGGATCTGTCGACACCTCCCCCTGCTGCGCCGCCACACCCATCTCAGCGCACCTCAGTCTGCCAAACTACCAAACTGAGCGTGCCTCGGGTTGCGCTGCTCGAAACTAGCTCTGCGCGGGGTTCACCACCCTGCGCCACCTGCGCTGCGCCGGGAAACTAGAGCCCATAGTCTCTACCAACAATCTTGGCTTAATAGAGTGTACAGTTACATTCGAGAAAGTACTACAAAAAACCCAAGGTCTAAGCACAAAAAATGGAAAAGGACTCCTGCTAGTGTTGACAATTCATCTCCAAATAAAGGAACTACTCGGTGCTCAAAAAGTCGTACATTGTTTCCCTAAGTGTGTGTTCTTAGCTCACAGCACAGCACTGTAAATTGGCTTTGGGTGTACAGATTTGTCTGAAAATGCTTTGGGCAGGGGTAACATTGTTTCGGATTGTATGAAAAACTAGGCTTTTTAGCTGCCTTTGAGAAACTGCATCATCTAAGAGAATCTTAAATGTCAGTGTGATCAAACTGGGAATAATGGCTCCTGCAATTTGTCTTCGTACTGAGTGTGCACTACCGCCCCATAGGATCATATATAGGACCACAAAACTGAATAAATTAAAGACAATGAAGGAACATTTGCATACAGTCTCAACTTCAGCACTGGAAAGAAACTGATGGATAAATAGTTTCACTATAAAAACAAGTGGCATGTAATCTTATGATGCTCTCCGATCAGGCTTTCTCTCTGCATACACACACACACACATACACACACACACACATATGTATATATATATATATATATATATATATATATATATATATGTATATACTGCTCAAAAAATTAAGGGAACACTTAATGGGGACAAATAGGGATATCAATCTGTCCGTGGAAGCACAAGTGACAACAGGTGCAATAGAGGGGCAAAGGACGACCAAGACAACCCCCAAAAAGGAAATGTGTTTTTTACATGTGGTGGCCACAGACAGTTGCTCTCTCCTTATCCTTCCTGACTGATTCTTCTCTAGTTTTGTGTTCTGGTAATGTCCTTGTCAGTACTGGTAGCAAGAGGCGGTACCTGCAGCCCAATCAGGTTGCACAGGTAGTCCAGCTCCTCTAGGATGGCACATTCATATGTGCAGTTTGCTTTGTCTCCCAACACAGTCTCAAGAGCATGGAAGAGATACCAGGGTACCGGCCGTTACATGAGGAGGGCATCAACCCAGCAGCGGGACTGGTATCTGCTCCTTTGTGTGAGGAGGAGCAGGAGGAGCACTGTCAGAGCCCTACAAAATGACCTCCAGCAGGCTACTGGTGCGCATGTTTCTGACCGAACTGTCAGAAACAGATTCCATGACGGTGGCATGACGGCCTGACGTCCTTTAATGGGACCTGTGCTCACAGCCCAGCACCATGCAGCTCGATTGGCATTCGCCAGAAAACACCAGAATTGGCATGTCCGCCACTGGACCCGTTCTCTTCACAAATGAGAGCAGGTTCACACTGAGCACATGTGACAGGCATCAAAGAGTCTGGATACACCGTGGTGAAGGTTATGCTGCCTGTAACATCATCCAGCATGACGGGTTTGGCAGTCAGTCAGTGATGGTCTGGGAAGGCATATCCTTGGAGAGTCGCACAGACCTCCATGTCATAGCCAGTGGTACCCTGACTGCTGTTAGGTACCGGG